TAAAAAGTGACTAAATTTCAATTACTTTTGAAATTGGGTTATTTTTGAACGACCAGTTGTAAATCTGGCTATTTTTAAAAATCACCCTTCAAAAGTTCTAAGTCCAAGTTTCAAATAATACACTAAAAGAGATAACTATTAAAGAGTAAATTATATTTATAAATTACATTACAATAATTATTTTTATGTATAAAATATTTTTAAACTTCTATACATGTAATTAATGTTGAGTTGGTTTAGTTTTGGTTTTACTTTTTTTAGTTAAAACCAAACCAAATCAATTATTGTTGATTTTTTTTCCGAACACCAAACCAAAACAAATCAAATCAAACCATAATCGAATTTTTTTTCTCGGTTTGACTCGGATTATCGGTTTGGTACGGTTTGTCAGTTTTCTTTGTACACCCCTGCTCAAAAGTATTAAGCGCGCGTCTTTAGATTTGTATTCATTTGTAAATTTGAATAAGCTAATGAATTATTAATAAATTTTAATGAATATGGTCGAGTACAATTGTAGGCAACGATGTTCTCTTTTGCTTTTTTCTACAACCATCAGAGCAAGCTCTATTCTTCATCAGTTACTGTATCTTTTTAGTAATTTCAGCCTGAATTATTATAACTACAGATGGATGAAAATAGAAATATTTATTGTGTACAGAAGAGAAGAACCAAATGTGCCCTGAAACATGCAAATGAGTTCTCCAGGATAATTTACGTGCTATCTTGACATAGATAAAGACAGACAAATTCGAAATTTAAACTTGATGAATTCAGCCTGTAAAATTTTTAGCGCTAAATTTATTGTACTTGTGAAATTATGAGTTCAGAATATAATACAACAACATCAACGACCCAGTAAAGTCCCACTAAGTGGGGCCCGGGGAGGGTAGTATGTATGCAGACCTTACCCCTACCCCGATAGGGCAGAGAGGCTGTTTTCGATAGACCCTCGGCTCAGGAAGATGGAAATAAAACAAGAAAACAAGAAAAGACAATTCATCAGCATCGTCAACATAACCATAGAAATAATGACAGCATCCTAAAAACCATATAATAGATGACATACAATAACAATAACCCGCAACTAAGGTCCAGAGCTATGGAAAACAGTAAGGTTAGTGTGAACTCTACATTAACCACAAGCTGTCTAGGACCAACCTACTCAAACTCGCTTCACCCCCGGAATGGAGAAGGAGAAGCTCGACTACCACTCTATCCTACAACCCTAATGCTTGACCTCCAGACCTTCCTATCAAGGGTCATGTCCTCGGAAATCCGCAATCGTGCCATGTCCTGCCTGATCACCTCTCCCCAATACTTCTTAGGCCATCCTCTACCTCTTCTCGTACCCACTAAAGCCAACAACTCACACCTCCTCATCGCAGCATCCAGGCTTCTCCTCCGCACGTGCCCGAACCATCTGAGCCTCGCTTCCCGCATCTTGTCATCCACAGAGGCCACACCCACCTTCTCCCGAATATCTTCATTCCTAATCTTATCTATCCTAGTGAGCCCGCACATCCACCTCAACATCCTCATCTCAGCTACCTTCATCTTCTGGATATGAGAGTTTTTAACTGGCCAACACTCTGTCCCATACAACATGGCCGGTCTAACCACCGCCCTATAAGACTTACCTTTGAGTATCGATGGCACTTTCTTGTCACATAAGACTCTAGATGCTAGCCTCCATGTCGTCCACCCCACTCCTATGCGGTGAGTGACATCCTCATCGATCTCTCGATCCCCTTGAATAACTGACCCAAGGTACTTGAAACTACCTCTCTTGGGGATGACCTGTGATCCAAGCCTCATATCCATGCCTACTTCCCTTGACTCGGCGCTGAACTTACATTCCAGGTACTCCGTCTTAGTCCTGCTCAATTTGAAACCCTTAGACTCGAGAGCCTATCTCCAAACCTCCAACCTCTCGTTAACACCGTCCCGCGTCTCATCAATCAGGACTATGCCATTAGCGAATAACATACACCATGGCACTTCCCCTTGAATATGGTGTGTTAGTGCATCCATTACTAAGGCAAATAAGAATGGGCTAAGCGCAGATCCTTGGTGTAACCCCATAACAACCGGGAAATGCTCCAAATCGCCTCCCACATTCCTTACCCTAGTCTTAGCTCCATCATACATATCCTTGATCGCTCTAACATAAGCTATCGGCACACCTTTTACCTCCAGACATCTCCATAGCACCTCCCTACGGACCTTGTCATACGCTTTCTCCAAGTCAATAAACACCATGTGCAGATCTTTCTTCCGATCCCTGTACTGTTCCACCAACCTCCTAATAAGGTGGATAGCTTCCGTGGTCTAGCAACCCGGCATGAACCCGAACTGGTTGTCAGATATAGACACTATCTTCCTCACCCTCACCTCCACCACCCTCTCCCAAACTTTCATGGTATGACTTAGTAACTTGATACCCCTATAGTTGTTACAACATTGAATATCACCTTTGTTCTTGTACAACGGAACCACTGTACTCCACCTCCACTCATCCGGCATCCTCTTCGTCCTGAAAATAACATTAAACAGTCCAGTCAGCTACTCCAAGCCTGCTCTAACCACACACTTCCAGCCGGAATTTCATCTGGCCCAGTCGCTCTGCCCCGACTCATCTTACGCATAGCCCCCATGACCTCCTCCAACTTAATACGCCTATAATATTTGTTAAATTTAGTGAGCTTTTATATATGTATGTTAGCTTCAAGGTTTCACATATTAATTTTGATGATAACAAGCCAATAAAATTATTAATCAAAGAATATTTACTTGTGGTAATCTTATTTCTGTATAGGTTTATTAAAGAAAGAAGATGCTAGTAAAGATCCAAACAAATATGGGAAAAGAGATAGCATGTGAAGAATTTATCAAGGAAGATTATTTTTAAAGATTTGATCTCCAAGCGTCATTTGATCTACAGAAATTATGGATGGAAAGTTTTTCAACATCTTGAAAGGATAGTTGCTAAAATCGTGGAGAAGATCTATTATCGTGTGGAAAGAAGATACTATACGGAAGAGTTACTACAAGACTAAGGAAGAATATATTTTTTATGGAAAAAAAATAAATTACGGGTGTAGTATATTCTATATTATGGAAAGAGATTAGTTTTCAAGATCAAGAAAGGAGTCAAAGATTTATTGAGATCTATCAGAAAGGAAATATTTATTGAGAAAGATATTTTTACCAAGACAAGTATTACAAGGAATTGGCCAAGTCTTGCATTTAAGGAATGTTGCACAAAGAAGCTTATTATTCAAAATATTTACTACGAGATGAGATGGAAAGTACTATTCTTATGGAAATCCAATTATAGAAAGAAGCATGAGTTACTGGAATCAATCAAGAATTACTACAATCATGGAAAAGTAAATCATGAGGATTTTGATTGAATCATCATGACTATTCTCATGTAGATATTCATAAAGATTATATATTGCAGAGAATTATTAATCATGGATCTATTCAAGGAAAGAATTGATATTGGCATCATGATTGGAAATTCAAATTGTCCAATTCAAAAGGAAAGTTTGCATTAACAGAAGATATCCAAATCTGCCTTATAGAAGTCACGTGCATATCCGCGTATGAAGACTTGATGGCTTACAAGAAAAGAATCTTTTATAAAAAAGGTATTAAATGATATGTCCTTGATTAAATATTTTGCAGTATGTAAAGATTTCTTTAATGGATATTCGTTTGTACTCAAAGGAAAGAGTAGTTTTGAGCATCAGACTTAATCGAGACAAGGATTATGATCATGTTCAAAAGGGCAAGAAGCAGTAAAGGAAAGTTGGAGCAGCAGCAAAGGAAATCCTTTTCCAAAATTAGAAGACTGCTGCAACGGCTAGAATATTCAACGACCAAGTATAAAAGAGAAGATACTTGCAACAACAAACTTATACAGCCTTCTATACAATTGTCTATCCAACTAAAAGTTCTTTATTCTACTCTTAACAAGCATTGTAATTCACTTTAGTAGATTTACTATGTACACAAAAGAGAGAAGAGAGACAGAAAAATATTGGAGAGGCAGTGTGTCCGAGAGGTTGTGTCATTGTTCGTTTCTTTGGTGAGCGAGTGAAAACCAAAGGGTCGATGTTGGTGAGCGAGTGAAAACCAACCCTGTCAGCGTTGGTGGTGATCGCTGAAAATCACAAAGGCTGTACTCAATTCATTTACAAAGAGCTCTAAAAGACAACACTCTTGCAACCCAAGAGGACTGGATTAGGATACTATATTGGTTCCGAACCAGTATAAAATTCCTGGTGTCATTTACTTTATCGCTGTCGTATTATATTCTGTTCCTTTACTGTTTATTGTGATTAGCACTTCTTTAAATCGAAAGGACCAATAGTTCTGTGCAGGCTGTCTCCGCATAAGTTGACTAGGTCTGAAGAGTAGTCGTAAATAGGCTACAATTCACCCCCCCCCTCTTGTACTTTCAATTGGTATCAGAGCAGATCTCACATCTTATTTTTTGCTTAACAGCAAGTGAGAAAACATCCATGGCAGGTCATCAAATTATTGGAACCGTACTTCAAGAGGGATACTCAACAAGAAGGCCACCGTACCTCAATAGTCAATACTATAGCCATTGTAAAGAAAGAATGAAGGTTTTTGTTCAATAAATAGATTATCGAGCCTGGCTAGTTATTCAGAATGGACCAAGAGTTATTCCGAACAACAGTGATGGAAAAAAACTTGTAAAAAGGGCATCCATATTTGACTACACAAAAGAACAGTTGGATATTGTGCAAACAAATGCTAGAGCAATCAACATGCTCTATTGTGCGATTAGTGAAGAAGAATACGAGAAAATATCCACCTGTAAGACTGCTAAAGATATATGGGACTGATTGGAAAATATCCACGGGTACGCCAACAAAGTTAAGGAAATTTAATCCACGTCAACTCTTGAAGAATCCGAAAATGGTGAAGATCGAGAAGACTTGGCCGTGATACCCAAGACGAGAAAAATGAAGAGTAGAAAGAGGCAGAATAGAAAATCTCAATCCATCCAGAATCATCAGAAGAATCAGAAGAATGAAGTTCAACAACAAGAGAACATATGCTGCTATAAATGTGGTAAACCTGGACATATGAAATTAAAATGTCCCAACTTCAAGAAGAAAAATTATAGAATCTCAACTTGGAGCAACGAGGATGATCAAGAAGAAATGACAAACATATGTCTCAAGAAAAGAGGAGAAACTGACGAGGTGTGCTTTAATGCTATTCTGGATTGTGATCTCAAGAAAAAGAACCACAAATCCTGGAGCGACAAGGATGAATCTGAAGAAGAAAACAATCACGAAAGAATGTAGAATCAATGTTTCATAGCAATGGGAGAAACTAACAAGGTATGTTCCACTCCTATTACGTATTGCGATAAATGTGATGAATTGCAGGATAATATCGTATTGGTTCTCAATGACCTTGAGAAAGTTCTAAATGGATATAATAAGTTGAGGAAGGAGATCCAACTTGAAGAATATAACAAGTTGACACATGAGAAGAAAGATTGGGAGATCAAACTTGAAGAATATAACAAGTTGAAAAATGAAAAGAAAGATTGGGATATTCAGCTTAAAGAATATCTGGTGGAGAACAACTTACTTCAAGAAGAAAATTTTGAGCTTCGCAAGCAAATAAGCAGCTTGCACAAATCCTCCAGCCACTACTTTGATCGATCAAAGTCGTCTCCTTGGCTTAACAGCTATAAGTCGTCTGAAAAGGGATCTACTGGTAAATGTCCTACTTTGAACAAGTTGACTGAGGAAAGTTCCAAGTCAACTAATAAGGCAGCTACAGGTAAACACTCTTCTTCTCATATTACATGTCATTATTGTGGCAATTCTGGACATAAAGTATTTACATGCAATTATGCCAAAGGTTATGTTAGATCAAAATATATTTGTAGACCTAAACAGTTACATGCATCTCGAATTACACAATCTACTAACCATGAAGGACCCAAAAAGATTTGGGTACCAAAAATAAATTAATTTGTTTTGCAGGAATTCCAAGTCCAGCCATAGAAAGGGATAAATGACATTTGCATAATGGCTGGTCAAGGCACATGCTTAAAGATGCTTCAAAGTTCATACATACTCTACAAATGATGAAGGAACTATTACACATGATGGTAAAGCTTAAGTGATTGGTATCACTAAAGGTTATTCAAATTCCTTCGGATGCTTTATAAGGTGATACGTATCTAGTAATTTGTTTTCTATAATATGATATGTACAACTACATATTGCTTGAGTCGACTAGCTGCAACATACTACTATTATGTTTGGTGTTAATCTTATCCTTGACTTAGAGATTGTGAATAAGAACGAATATCTTGCATGAACCATGCCATTTGTATAAGCATTAGGATAAGCAAGCATGCATGCATGTATTGCTTTCATGTATTTCTGAGCTTAAGATAACTTGTGAAGATAATTACTTCTTATATTCATTCTCTTGGTGAAAGTTTCAATACTTCATTCAAATCTGAGAAGGTTGTTTAACCTTGATGTCTCGGTAACTTGTGCATGTGGAGATACTCGACTATTCGTAAGACTCAAAAGCTTGGAAGGTACATATATATGTTTTTATTGATGATTATCCTTACTTTTGCATAGGTCATTTTTTTAAATAAGAAAATAACGCATTTGCAGTGATCATGTAACGACCCGACCGGTCGTTTTGAGCTCTAGCGCGCCGTTCAGCAGTTTGAGGCCATGAGCAGCTTTACTTCAGGTATTATGACTTGTACGCATGGTCGGAATTGAATTTTGGGAAGTTCGGAGTTGATTTGGAAAGAGAATTCTCATTTCGAAAGCTTTAAGTTGAAAGAATTGACTAAGATTGGATTTTTGAGTAAACGACCTCGGAATCAAGATTCGAAGGTTCCATCAGGTTCGTGTGATGATTTCGGACTTGGGCGTATGTCCGGATTGGGTTTTGGAAGACCCGGGAACGTTTCGGCACCTATTGTGGAAGTTAGCATTTTTGGAAGAATTTCATGAGTTTGGGTTGAAGTGCATTTTAGTGTTATCCATGTTCGTTTGGGATTCCGAGTCTGGGAATAGCTCCTTATGATGATTCTGGTGTTGGGAGCACGATCGGAAGTGAATTCGGAGGTCTGTGGGTCATTTTGGAGTCATTTGGCTAAAGATAGAAATTTGAAGGGTTTTGAGGAGTTTGACCGGAAGTGGACTTTTTGATATCGGGGTCGGAATCTAATTCCGGAAGTTGGAGTAGGTCCGTAATGTCGAATGTGACTTGTGTGCAAAATTTGATGTCAATCGGACGTGATTTGATAGGTTTCGGCATCGAATGCAGAAATTGGAATTTCTTAGTTTATTACACTCGAATTGGGGTGTGATTCGTGTTTTTAGCGTTGTTTTCCGTGATCGCGAAGGGCAAATTTTGGGCTGAGAAATGTTGTTTTTCGCGATTGCGAAGCATTTTCCGCGATCGCGAAGAGTAAATACCTGGGCAGAAGTTATATTTCGAGGTTTCGGCCATTTTTAACATATTTGAAGCTATGGAGCTCGGATTGAAGCGATTTTTGAGGCGATTTTCACCATATGGATTGGAGTAAGTGTTCTATATCTGAAAGTAATTATACTTCATGATTCTATGGTTATGTTCATCATTTATTTCTGATTTAAATGGAAAAAATCAAGATTTTTGCAAAACTTTTCAAGAACGAAAATTCAAGATTTGGAGGTCAAGTTGTTATCGGAATTTGGTAAAATTGGTATGGTTGAACTCGTATAGGAATGGGTTGTTGGATTTTGTGAGTTTTTCGGAATCCGGGCACGTGGGCCCGAGGGAAATTTTGTCAACTTTTCGAACAGAGTTAGGAATTCTTCTAAATTGAATTGTTGTGAGTATTAGAGTATGTATTTATGGATTTTCTCATTTATTGGCCAGTTTTGGAGCGTTGTGCATCGATTTCGGTCGTCATAAGGGCTTGGAAGCCGATTTTTGAACTTCAGAGCGAGGTGAGTCTCCTTTCTAACCTTGTAAGAGGTAATTGTCCCCATAGGTGAATTAATTGGATATGTGCTTCTATGTGTGGGGGCTACGTACGCACGAAGTGACGAGAGTCTGTGCGTAGCTACTATTATGCTTAAGTCCGGTTAGTCTAGGACCCAAAAACATGCTTTACTTGTAATAATTGTAACCTTATTGGCAGTTTAAATTGCTTTAATTGCATCGAAGTGGTAAATGATTTTCTAAAAGAGTTAAACTTCATTTTTCTCGACTTGTAAAAGAGAAATTGACACTTCCTTGAATAATTATGTCCCTGATGAAGTTTTTATTGACTGTTTGAATGTGTGTTTCTATGTGTACCTGCGTCGCATGTATGATTCGCGAGCGTGGTGATTGTTTATTTATGTTTGATATCGTCGCATGTATGATTCGCGAGTGGGCTAATAGATGCATCTATGGTTCGCTCCATTCGACCCTCTGGTAGTGCACAGTTTAAATATGGTTGGATCGGTCCGTACGTCCTCGGCATGATTTGCGCATGCTTGTATTGCTTGCCTTGATATTTATAAATGAGGATATTTCTTCCCCGTATTGAGAATAAATGTATAAATGATGAAAACTAATTTGGAAATTTCCCTATGAATAAGAGAATTGTTTACTTGCTTCATGCTATTGAGTTACAACCATTTTTTATAAAAACCCTTGATTTACTATATTATTGGTATATTATTATTGGACCACTAGTAAGTGTCAAAGTCGACCTCTCGTCTCTACTTCTTCGAGATTAGACGGGATACTTACTGAGTACACGTTATTTTTGTACTCATGCTACACTTGCTGTGCATTTTTATTGCACAGGCACATGTACCCCTAGCAGCCTAATGGGCATAGCAGCAGGGATGATATGGAAACTTATGTGAGCTGCATATCCCGAGGCGATCCGCAGCCGGCTTAGTCTCTTTCAGCGTATAGTATTTACCTTCTGTCCAAATTGTATTCCGGACAGCTATTGCACTTCATTTGATTTTCTAGAAATAGCTCATGCACTTGTGACGCCGGGTTCTGGGATGATTATGGGATTATTAAATATTAATTTTGTTAATGACATCATCTTATTTCAATGAATTTCATTATTTATTGTTTAATGTGTAAAAGGAATGATTTCAACAAATACTAAAATGGGAATTTAATTAACTTCTTGGTGTTGGCTTGCCTGACAGTGGTGTCCGGCGCCATCACGACCCTTAGTGGATTTTGGGTCGTGACAACATGGTATCAGAGCACTAGGTTCACTTAGGTATCACGAGTCATGAGCGAGTCTAGTAGAGTCTTGCGGATCGGTACGGAGACGTCTGTACTTATCTTCGAGAGGCTACAGGGCTGTTAGGAGCACTTCCCTTCTTGATTCCTCATCGTGCGGTTTGATTCCTCTGAGGCTTATGCCTTCATTTCCTTCCCAGTCAATCTTATGCGACGTGAAGCGATGGTTCTAAATATGGAATCGAGGAATTGTAATGGTACTGCAGATGTGGTGCATGATGTTTCCTCCTGCGTATTTGACTGGGCAGCGAAGGATGAGGAAGGGCATGTGGGAAGTGTCTTGTGGTGATTAAACTCCTAGAAGGCCAAGTGTGGCAAACAGGAGTTGAGTAGTTGCCTAAAGGAGTGAGTTTGGCCAAAGTGGGAGAGTGGCAGAGTAGCATATGGGTTCAGTGGCATGATAACTGCACACCTTGAGGAAAAGTTTAGAGTGATTTTGGAATTTTAGTGGACGATGATTGGGTCCGCGGGCTTAATTTGAAATATTGGCTATTATACGGTGGGAGATTGGATGTAGCAGAAAGGGAGTTGCTTGATACGAAGAAGGATGCAATATTACTTTGAATTAGAAGATATTGTCACGCATTTAGTTGATGTCCATAAGAAGTGAACGAACTAGTACAGTTGGTGAATGAGCACGGGATCAGGATGGGTTATTGATGTCATAGTGATTGTACCCTGTCCAACGACGTTGGAAGATATCGGCATGTAATTTCCACAGGCGAGTTATCTCATGTGAGCAGGTCAGCGGTCGCGTGGTTGGCGAAGCTCCTGCGAAGGATTTTACTGACTATCTAGTAAGAGGTCGAATATGCGAATGTTGCTAGAGATTCAAAGCGTTCATGAAACACTAACGGAAGGATTCGAGGAATCTGGCAGTTTGATTGCGCAAGGTCATGTCAATAAGAGATAAAGAATCTTGGTGGGTTCCAGAGTTGTGTAATAAATGCTTCAAGCTAAGTGGGAGAGTCCCACCGCCTACGATTGGGTTGCATGCTTATCTACTTGT